CTCATGTTCTGAATCGTCTCCAAGGCGGCTCCGTACGTTTTGTCCACTGGGGGCTCTTCGAAAATGATCAGGACGCCTTCACCTTGGTCGAGGATGCCTGAAGGACAACGCGTCACAGAAACAGATCACGGTGAGACTCTGAACCCGTCCACCACGTGCACACCTCTGGGATTCGGGTTCTTAGGAGCAATTACCGTGAAACTTTTCATCCAGAATCATCTGTGATAATTTCCTCTCAACATCCCCCTAGGAAATGAAAAGAACAATAACCCATCTTTAATGAGATATATGATGATTTTCAAAACTGAGGATAAATCTGTTGACTGCAAATGCACATACCTTTGACAGTTTGATCAGACCCGATATGTGTTCCATCTGAAAACAGTGGGAGACAGAAATGAATGAACTTGATAACACGATGAGTGCAGCAGTAGTCTTGCCAGTCTAGAATATGGAAAGAATGGCCCCATTATCAGCACAATTAGCAAACTGGGATTGCATAGTGAAAAAACTATAAATTGATAGTGGAGATCCTCTGCTGACAGTTAAATAAAACTCGTCCTGTCTCACACACACACACAGCCGAAGACTGAAGTGTGTATAACATATTAGAAGATGCACAAAACGCAGAGCAACAAGTGGGAGAGAAAGATTTAGGACCTGGTCCTAAGGTTCTCCTGGATTACTTCACGTTGCCTAGTGCTCCCGTACTTGTACTCTGGAGAAGGGTTCGATGACTCGGATGAGGTTCTGTTCCAGCAGGTTGTCGTACAGCTTGGCCAGGTGAGTGCTGATGATGGGGTCGTCCCTCAGCTCTGCTCTGTACTCCGTTAGGGCCTGGAGAATAAAAAAGTCCGACCAGTCAGCCCACTTGTATGCAAGCAGACTCCAAAATACATGGTTGAGCAACGGACAAAACGTTCTGGGTCATCAAAAATTAAAGTGAAGGACGATTTGTAGACATCTGTGTGAGCAGCAGATTTTACCCCTCAGGAGGAAAATGAGCAGAGGACGAACCTTTCTGCTGAAAGGATTCTTACCTTTTCAAAGTCTGCTAGTGATCGGTTCTTGCAGGCCTGGGCGACGCTTTTCATCGCATCGGTCTGGAGGGACAACAGAATATTTGTCAATTCACAGAAAGCAACTCACTTAGAAAGCAGAGATCAATAGTACGCTTATTTTAGAAGAACGTGAAAAGAATCAAGCTCTGTACTTGCCTGTCGGCCGGCATGTCGCAAGCCCAGTTTCCCACTGATTAGGCCTTGGACCTCCTCAGGTCTGAAAGAGTCAGGGAAGAGAAACATCAATATGGCGCGCGCGCACACACAGAGACAGAGAGAGAGAGAGAGTAGTGGTTTCAGCTGGAAGCGCTGCTCACAAGTTGAGGACGATCTTGCACAGAAGCATGTATTTGAGCGACGTGATGGCTCTGGGGTGGTCGATGGAGTCGTAGCCCTCGAAGGCCTCAAAGAAGTAGGAGTAGGCCGTTTTCCAGTCCTTCTCCTCCGCTGCGTGGATGATCCCTGCAACACAGACAACAGTCATCCTCTCCAGGCCAAAACAAACCGCGGCATGATAACCGCGACATCATCATCACAGGTCCACTGCAGTCACACTGGTGAACTGCGTGGCTTTGAGAGGGTCATCAGGATAAAATGAGCCGAGTCTGCAGAACACCGCATACGTCGTCTTCAAGCCACTGAAGAGTCTTGTGTCACATTAACTACGATGCATAAACCCAGCGTAATACTTTGTGATAACACGGCTGCGTTTTAGATGGCAACCACAAAAACCTAAAGTGGAAACAGAACTCTCCCTCTATTGAGCAGCGTTAGAAGATTTTATTGGAAATGGATCCCTTTCCTTTTTCCCCCCCAGAGCCCATCAAATACCAGGAGACTCTGCATTTTGTCTTTGACTTCAGCTCTTCTGCTAAAGCGGATTGTAACGGCAAAGGACTGATGCTGAAACATTTATCAAATTGGATGCAATCTACAAACAAGAATTGATCATCACTACGATCAGCATAATAGAAAAATACAAGCAGAACGGTCACTCTAAAGGATGAGAAATATATATCGAATTATAAATTAGTAGTATTTGAGCTCTGTACATAAACTTGCCTGGCATCCACCAGTGGCAGTTTCACAAATACTAGTTTACAGAATTCTAGAAAGGTCAAAGGGTCAGTGCAAAAATTAACCAATGTTTAGTTGCTATTTTTCAATAATATACCTTTTTTTATTGTACAAATAGCCGTTCTTATACTGTGAAAACCACATACTCAGTTTCCCTGGCACGCTGGCTGAGTGAGAGTAGTGAACCAACCTGACTGCATGTCCAGGGCTGCCTGGAGCTTGGGGGGGCAGTAGATGGCGTTGGCGGTGGTCCTGGCGGAGGTGAGGGCTGCGCGGGCCTTGGGCAGGTTACTAAGAGCGTGGTACGTCTTACTTTCAAGCAGCTGGACCTCGACCAGAAGAGCTTTGTCGTCCATCTTTTTCAGCTCCATGAGCAGCTGGGTGCCTGTGGGGAACGGAACCGACGGGAGTTAACGTCACAGACTTTAACTGCTGCAATAACTTTGTACGACACTGAACCGCTAGATGGCAAATGTGCAGCTGTAGTGCTGCTATGCACAGTTTTCCTCCTTTTGATACAAGTAAAACACATTTCTAACCCTTTCTTCAGAAGCCATCTGGAAAGTCTCTGAAGCTGAAGAGACCAAAAGATAAATATTTTGTGTCTAAACACTCACCAAGCGCCAAGGCCTCCTGGTATCTTTTGGTGTCGAAATAGAGCGAGATCAGTCGTGCCTGAAAGGAGAGCGAAAGCTGTGAGACAAAGAGCAACTCCGCCAATCCGTTCACTTGAAATACAAAAAGCTACCTGGTTCAAGAACTTAAGACAGGAATATGAACTAAAACCTCTAAATGTAGGAAACACTAGCATACAACATCATTTCTAATCTTTAAAATTACACATTTACAACATTGTTTCCCCCCACACCCATATTGTCAAAACTAAGTTTAGTTTGACATTAAATGGTTGTGCAAAAACATGATTCTCATATGAAGAGAAAAGGTTTTGTGTCACATATAGCTCCTGAATTTCATTTTCAGTCTATAAGTAATGGAAGCAAGCAAAGATGCTTTGTTTTATCATGCTTGAACACATTTGCTGACATTGTGCCTCGCATGACGGAATAAATCAACGTTTGTTAAAAGGTGTTGAATAGCAAGTCTGAAGAGAAACGTTTGCCGTTTGTTTTTAGAAGGGTGACGCATGAACCCGACGCTCAGCACCAACGCGTTGTAAAATGAACGCTTCATTACATATCTCAACATAATCTCATGTTATCACCAGATTAGCCTCAAAAAACACACACTCATCGCTAACAGCTGCTCCTCAAGACAGTGTTTTATGGCAGATCCAAGTACATCAATATCTCTCTCCCCCCCATTACTACTAACATCCATCATAACATGTTCCCCAAGACACACCTGAAGAGCGAACACGATGTAAGCCTTCAATCATTTGTACATGCCAACATTAAATTTTTTTTTTATACTTTACACCTAAAACTGTTTAGAAAATCTTGTTGCTCCTGGATTTTGACGTTTGGTTTTATCAAATAGTTCTGACATCTTCAATCAAGGTTTCAAACAATGCAAATACAAGTCTCTGACCGCATAATTGATGCGCTTTAAGTTTTTCCTTTCATAACGTGATAACGTTGCCTCCAAAATCTCAAAAAATTGTGCAATTGCAGCTCAGTGATATCTGCTGCGGGGTTCTCTACCTAGTACATGAGCTATACCCAGTTAAAGAAGTGACGGTGTCCAGAAGGAAAAGAACGTCCCCTATTGTGTGATTCCAGCAGCGGGACATATATTGGATTGTTTTAAGAAAATACAGAAGTAATGGGAAATACGGTATGGGAAATACATAAGCTACATGAAGTAAATTTGGTGGCATTGTGAACGTTATCGTGGAGCGCTGTACCTCCAGAGCCTGTCGAAGGAAGGTTCTCTTCTCGGTCTTGGCCCACTCGATGCACTCAAGGCACAGCTCAACTTCCTGCCCCGTCGCCGCCTCCATGTCAAGAAAGAGGTCCAGCAGGGAGCGGACCAGCCGGGCCGCCTTGGCCTTGCTGATGGAAATCAGAAAAGGCCTCACAAATTTCAGCAGACCCCCGAGTTCTGGAGACAAACACACAAAGATAAAGTATTTACAAAGTATAAATATGACATTATCAGATCCATTGGGTTGATTGTAAACTTAGTTGGAAAGTATTGGAGATCAAAGTTTAGTTACCTGCAGCCTGTCCCGTCTTGGCCAGCAGTGTCCCCAGCTCCAGGATACTCTGTTCTTTAACCCGGACGGCTTCCTCATCGTTCTCCTGGACATCTCTTCTCACTGTTAAAGAAAGGCAACAAGTTGTCACCAGTAACTAATTAAAAATGATATTCTCACCGAATGCAACACATCTGGATGACAACATGAAATCACTCGTTAAGGTAGAGCGAGGGCTGGACTATTTAGGGTTTACCAACCATATTGTTACATCATCCGTCATATTTATATTATCTCACTATTACTCGATATTCGGTTCGCACAATCATCTGAAAACGATGGATCAAATCGATAGTTTGTCACGACGGTCATTCTTTGAGGAAAACAAACCGGGAAGACGGACAACTTGACAGATATTGGGCTGAAGTGACAGGTGGGATGCTTATGGGAAATGCAATACCTGTTTACTGTAACGTTAGCCATTACTTTATATCGCAATGTACTTTCAATTCGGTCGTGTTAACACAACCATTTACACACAAGCGTACACTGGCCGATTAGCAATACATGTCCCATTAGTAACAGAAGTTGTTGAAATCGTGTATTACTGTGTTGTCGAAAGGGGTCGAACAGCTTTTGACAACAAGCTAAAGACGTTAGCCACAATAGCTAACATGCTAACATGACAGTCCTCAATTGAGCTAGTGGTAGTTAGTTAGCTATGAAGCAGCAGTCAATAACACGACACAATGCCAAACTACAGTGTTAAAAACATAACATTACGCATAACTACTAACATATTTCTCGCGCTGGCCTAAAATATGCCAAAGTTGCTAACGAGCTAACTCACTTACATCCACTAACAGTGGCCGTTGCCCACCGTTCAGCAGTGAGTCAGCACGGCACACCACCGGCTCTTGCTACTGAACGTCACTAGCTAGCATGCTAACCTCGGCCATTTAACACTGGCCGAGAAATCGCTAACTACGGCGGTCGGCTGAATCGTGCCCATCGCGAATCCACGGCCCAACAGCCTACCTATTGAATGGAGAATGTCGATTGATGCGTTTCGGTCCGTGCTAATGAGAGACTGAGCTCTCTGAAACTCAACCACTGCTGCGGCCGCCATCTTCGTTATTCAAATGCTGCTTGAATGAAAATTACGTGCCGGGACTACGTTACCTAGCGTATCGTGACGTCATCGTGTGTCGGGCATGCTGGGATTTATAGGCACATGGGAAATGTAGTCACATTGGATACTTTTCAGACGCTGCTTTACGTTCGCAGTTGATTTGTTGCTGTGTTCTATCATGTGGAAAATGCATTTCGTTGGTGAAGTAGTCATTGTTGTTATGAGTAATAGGACGAGATTTGCTTATTAAAACATACATGTGGAGCTAACGTTACTATAGATAAAACTCTTTAAATCATGCTTTCATTGTTCATTTGATAACCAATCAATATTCTGCAAGTAATTAAAATGCATAGATGAACGAGAGTAATTATTTGTGTCGTGCGTTTTATTTTTATTGTACGCACATTTATTACAGAGGTATAGGCCTCAGAACTCATATTGTTTTCAAAGCCAATATTCTTTGTTATCTCATTACCATGAAAGCTATTGCCGTTTCATTTCAAAAGGCATCTAAAATCTCCTCCAATATGATTAAAATGCAGAAAGGATGGCATAACTAAAATACCGGTTTAAAAATATTCTATACATTGTATAGGATATTTTATTTTGGTAATCACTTGATAAATTAAGCACGAGTAGCCTATATGCACAGAGAGCATAACATTATTTCTCATATAACGGGCTGTATAAGACAAAAGACCCCACTAACAGGAATAGACTATGAGATTTCTGTATCGACCCCCTTCAGCGCCTACAGATGAATGTGGCTGATTGGAGTGTGATTGGAGCACGGAGGGTAACACGAGGAGAAAATAACAAGCTCGGAGTTCACAGGGTTCACGTTGGCATGTTTGCATATGCGCCATACTGTGTGTGCCGGCCCGCATACAGGCGGAGTGGTTTCACCGCCCGCACCGAGCGCACAGCGGCGCCCCACCACCGCCTTTGCGCCAGCCCTTGCGCACGCAAACACGCAACACATCAGCCCCGTCGCAGCATCTCTCTCGGCCAGGAGGACCAGGAGCACATCTTCATCTGAGCATCCATTGCACAACTGCCTCCCATCGTCTGCGCACCGACGACACCGGGCGTGTTCCTCCAACGCTTGCTGCTTCTTCTTCTTTTTATAGGGTGCCTCGTCTTGGATTATTTTCTTCATCGTTGCATTTCTCTTTTTTTTGGAGATGGTTATGTGTTTTTAATCACAACCTGTAAGGAAAACAAACTAAAACACAACACGGAGCATCGTCGGCCCAGCGCGATTATAATCTCATTGAGGAGGATAACTGGTGAGTCTTTATTGGATCGTATCGGTGCCGAAAAATGCAGAAATTCAGATTTGTTTACCCATTAAATATGAAAACAGATAATGCGCAAGGAAAATATGTCAATACGTTGAAAAAAAACCCCACAACGGATTACACGGAATGATGAGGATTTCTTTTTCTAAACCACCGCCTCTCGTGTCCAGCTTTTACATTTCGACGCAGACGCTCCGTTTCAGCACCGCGGAGAGCGCCACTCATTTCCCCATTAAAAGCTCGTGTTGTGGAATTGTGTCGTCCGTCGATGAGTCAGATTGATGAGGGATTGGATCCATCGGCAGCCTGCTTGTGCCGCAGCGAGGACAAACACGCTCTTTGAGGGTGTAGTTTGGATTCGTGCTTTAATGTGCACCACACGCGACCTTCACCTGTTATTAAGGTGTTTATGTCTTCCATTTTAGAGGAGAGCGGTGGCGCGTGGTTCACTCTGATTCGTCGGCCATTGACTGTGAAAATATGTCCCTCTCATTATGAAATCTTCGTGAATTTGCCGCAGAGGCATTAGATTTAGTGTGGACTAGAATTCATTCTAAAAATGGATGTTATCTGTTCCCTATAATCTGCAGCAGATGATACAAAACATGCATCTGGCGTTACAATGCTTATTACATTCATCATTGATCACTGGCAGGGATCTATACTGTTGGAATTAATTGGTATAAGCTATGTGCTGATCCATTCCACTTATACTGGGTCGGATCAATAGCACTAATGAGCCTGAGGTAAGGTCAGATAAGCCGCTCAGGCACACATTCATGAGAACATTACAGGGCTGATAGCCGTGATATCATTTGACCTTAAGCTGAACGGGAGATCCAATATGATGTCTAATGAATTTATTTTTTATTTTTGTAAACATGCATGGGTATGAGATGCTTCGGTGGTTTCTATTCTGATGATTGATCTTTTCTTGCAGCAAGGGGCATTGGAAGCCGCAGGCAGAGAGCTGAAATCCAGCAGAGACCTTTTGAGTCGAGGTGATCACTATCCTTCCAGAGCCAGGCCCCGTTAACAGCGGCAGCCTGTAGCCCCGGGACTCGCTGCTCCCAGAAGCACCACAAGGCTTTCCCCTGGCAGACCCTCTTCTGACCCAGTGCGGCTGAAGCCCCTGGACGCATACCCACAGTCACCATGGGAACCGTGCTGTCTCTGTCGCCCAGCTACCGAAAGGCGGCCCTCTTTGAGGATGGGCCGGCCACCGTGGGCCACTACACGGCCGTCCAGAACAGCAAGAACGCCAAAGACAAAAACCTGAAGCGCCACTCGCTCATCAACGTGCTCCCCTGGAAGCGAATCGTTGCGGTGTCGGCCAAGAAGAAAGGCTCCAAGAAGGTGCAGCCCAACGGAAACTACCAGAACAACGTCACCCAGCTGAACAACGAAAACCTGAAGAAGTCGCAGTCGTGCGCCAACCTCTCCACCTTCGCCCAGGACCAGAGCACCCCGGCTCTCACCAAGGCCTCCAACAACGCGGTGACGTCCGTCAAGAAGGCCCCTCTGACCAACTCCAACGCAGTCCCCGGGACCCCCAAAAGGGTGATTGTCCAGGCCTCCACCAGCGAGCTACTGCGCTGTCTCGGAGAGTTTCTGTGCCGCCGCTGTTACAGGCTAAAGCACCTTTCCCCCACCGACCCGGTGCTGTGGCTGCGCAGCGTGGACCGCTCCCTGCTGCTCCAGGGGTGGCAGGACCAGGGGTTCATCACCCCCGCAAACGTGGTCTTCGTCTACATGCTGTGCCGGGACGTGGTCTCCTCCGAGGTGGCCACGGAGCACGAGCTGCAGGCCGTGCTGCTCACCTGCCTCTACCTGTCTTACTCCTACATGGGCAACGAGATCTCCTACCCTCTCAAGCCCTTCCTGGTGGAGAGCTCCAAGGAGACCTTCTGGGACCGCTGCCTTTCCATCATCAACCTGATGAGCGCCAAGATGCTCCAGATCAACTCCGACCCGCACTACTTCACGCAGGTGTTCGCCGACCTGAAGAACGAGAGCCAGAAGGAGGAGGAGAGGAGCCGCCTGCTCATCGGCCTGGACCGGTGAGGGGGTGCTGGGGGGAGCCGGGGGGGAGGGGGGCAGACTGGTCAGGGGAGATGGGGCCTACTCCACTCTGGCATTTTGACGTTGATTTTGTTTGAAGGATTATCTGTGATGCTATTTGCTGATTATGCGACAAGGCCGATTTGAAAGTATTTAACATTCATAACAACTAAACATTGAGGGGGAAGGAATCCTAAGGGGGGGCTCTGTGATTTTCACAGATCGACAATGTTGGGGAGATAACATATAAAATCATCAACTAAATACGGGGCCGTGGGGTTTAAAAAGCAAGAGCACTCTTTTGTGCCCTCTTGAAGTGGTTATTATTACTATCAAGGCCAAATCCTATTTTCCATCGAGCAAAGGATGGATTTTCTGTGAACCTGAGAGTGAAAGCGTTTTTTTTTTTTTAACAATTATACATTTAAAAAAATGCCAGACTTGGGTAAATCCTTTGCTAACGTAAAGATATCTATATCTCTATATGAAGAACTGAAAATGTTTTTAAGAAAAACACACAACAAGACAACAATTCAGGCAAAAAGAGAGACATTAGAAGAGGAAGCCAACATCTACAGCATTGAATGTGGAGAGGACCGAGGCGGCTCACCGGCGACCTTCTGACGGCGGGATGTGCACTGCCTATGCTGCAGGAGGGTGAGGGCCATCGCCTGACTGGCTTGCTTCATACATCATGGATGAAGGGGCGGGTGCCCCCCTCACCTCTCACACCACCTCCCACACCCCCTGCCCCCCCCCCTCCCAGCTGCAAACTCTGGCTCTTCGGAATGCCACGTCCCCTCCGTCCACGCGGATACCGCCGGACAAACAGCGTTGCAGCAATGCATATCTGAAAGAGCAGCGGGGGGCCATCGATGCTGGATCCATATTTTCGTGGGTTTTCCGTTTGTGGCTCCACAACTGGTCTTCTACTGGTGGGGACAAGAGGCAAACACTGCATTGTGGGATGTATGATGAGGGGTCATACTGTGTGTGTGTTCAGAAAGGCCGGCTTATTTTCCTCTAGACAAAAAAATAAAGTTAATGGATGTTTTACTCCACCAGAGGCTCACTCCGATGGCGGCTTATTTATTGCTTTTATGGAACAAGATTTCTTTGATTTAGCTCTTTTCTCTTTTTTTTTTTAACTTAGAAATGTAATGTTTTGCACGTGTGCCATGCAATTTTACAGCGTTTTCCGGGACGGAGGGAACAACCGTTACTTTTCTTCTTTTTACTTGATTTGTAAACCAACTGCATCTGCATTAGAGAATGCTGTGAACAAAGTGACACTAGTTTATTTAGCTCTGCTTGCTAAAATAGGCTATTTGTTTACCAGGGAAATTCTTTTTGTACTTTTGTCGATTTTTGGAATGACGTTGGATTTTGTGCTTATGATTCAGCATAGATAATGTTTAAAACAGTGCCATATCGTTGATGAAAAATCCCACAGGTCTGAGATCTCTGTTTGTCCAGCTGTTGAATGATGGGATGGATTTTCATCGTCTACTAACTAACTTACTGAGACCTAATTTATTGCCATTTACGTATTTATTTAGGCACATTTATTGTAAATGAAAGGACAGACTTTGAAAAGAGAAGGACACATGGAGGTTTTTCTTCGCTGGTGTAGGTGTGCTTATCTTTGGTGGGAATGAAGATTGATCTGGCTCATGCACATGAATGTTGCAGGGATTTATCGATGGATACCTAATTAATCTGACCATCACCAAACCCACGTCATCAGGGGACACCTTGAGACATCACATCATTGAGCTTCTACTTAAGAAAACGCCCTTAAACGACACCCAACCTCCCGTGCCACATATCAGACGATTTCAACGGTCAGCATCACTGCAGATCCTCCGTCAGCACCACCTCTGTGCAGATCAAATGCGAGGCGACGTCACACTCCTCCATGGGCCGCAGGAGACGAGGCGACCTCCACCGGAACGATCAAACACTCAATCATAGAAACACACGCCATAACATGACCTGCTGCAGTGTGCAAGGGCAACCGGAGCAGGAAGCGTGCAGAACAACGTCTGAAGGGAAAATAGTTTCCATCTACAGTATTTATACCCAGAAATGTATGAGAAGTGGTTTTACTGGTTTTACTCATTTCAACATAGAGCGCAGCTGGAACGAGTCCGTCTTTTTGCAGTTACGCTTCCCTCATCTTGAGGTCGGTGTGTATTTTTAATGGGTTTCTGGTTAGTTGTCTAAAATAAGGTCTGCGGTTAACAAAAGTTGAAGAGATTTAAACTTTGTTTGTCGACATAAAAACACGTCGTGAATACCACATCTAAGTGGACGTAGCATCCCGCGTTGGTTTGTGGACTGAGTTTGCCATCTTGTTCTTTTGCAACCAGTGAACGTGGCTGAAAAAATATTCGGACTGAGCGTGAGCGACATAGAGGCGTCGTATATTTCTCTGGCAGAGGCCTGCCAATCACAGTGTAGCCCCGCCCTAATTCGTTCCCTTCTTTATGGTCCATTTTATCCTAAATGGAGCATAATTTACTGGATGAACATCAAGCTGTTGTGAAGACGACGTAAACATAAAGACTTAGACTAACCAACCAGAGGAGTCGCCCCCTGATGGACATAAGAGAGAATGCAGGTTAAATGCACTTCAGCATTAGCAGATCCGCTAAATATATGCTAAACGAGACAACTAAACGTCATCAGTAGAACACTAAAAGTTGTGTTTGCTTGTGGAGATTATCTTGCTAAACAAAAATGAATTATTTTAAGCGTTGCTACAGAGCTTTATTCTTGCAATAATCCACAAATTCAAAAATCCCTTCAGCTTTTTGCTCCGGCAACCAGTTCGACCACGACGACCTCCTGGTTACGCCATCCCTGCAGCAGAGAAAATACGCACATTGGAAAAGTTTCTATAAATCAGAATGGACTGGTTGGGCTTCTGCTCTGGCAGAAAACAAAGCAGGGCAACGGGGAAAATGGCATCATGAAGTGACTCCGCATCTTCTTTCTCGCTTTACCCTCTCGATTCACTTGAAACGTGCCATTTGTTCCCCCTCCCCCACTTTGCATCATTGAGTAGTTGTTTGAGAAAATACTTTCAAATGCTTATGAAATAAGAACAAAAGACTCAAGTGGTGTTGAAAGATTTGTCGAATTCTTTTTCTGTATCTTGTTGCGTACTTTGTAGATAAAAAAAAAAAAACAGTGGCTCAGAACTTCAATAAAGTGAAGCATTTGATGGGTGTGTGTGTGTGTGTGTGTGTGTGTGTGTGTGTGTGTGTGTGAGACAGAGAGGGGATGACTGCGTTTTATTTGTACATAGGAATGTGTGACATGTTTTCTCATGAACAGGAGGCCGAGGTGTCGATGCCGTTCAATAAAAATGTTCTTTTTCTGAAAAAGACAAAAAAGCTGTTGCTGTGATTGAAACTTTTTTCAGTTAGTTTCTGCTTATTTTAATTTATTTTTGTACTGTGATGGAAAAATAAAATGCAACGATCGTTCGCCACTTGTGTTTTTGTGCCTCCAGATGTGGACCGCCCTTTGAATACAGTACCTGACATCTGTAATATAATACCAACATGCACATTCACACCTGGTTAACATGGGGGCTCAGGGCCTTGCTCAGGAGCATATCAATCCAAATTAAACATACGGTTGGCGGTTCAATTCCTATCCTACCTCCACATGAACCACAGGTCAAAGCCTTGTTGAGCAATGACCTTGAAATGCTTATTGCTCCTCATGTGTGTAAAGAGGGTAAAGTGAATGTTAACCTGAACACACAATAGAGGAAAACAACATCCAATTCTCATCCAGGTCAAACATTCAGACTATTTCACTGCAGCATCGGATCTTTTACTGATTTCCTCTCTGATGTTAATATGTGATGACCTTGGTGGTGGGTTATGGGTACAGGCAATCTTGTAATTGGGATAACAACCATCAATCCCACACACGTGTTGACGTTCATCCTAAACAAAAGCTCTGTGCAGTCTTTAAAAAATGTCCTTCCTGCGGAAGTTTCTCCCAGTTGGGAATCAGCTTCAAATACACAGACGGGTAAGTTTGGGTCAGCTCCCTCTTTGCCGTCCATTAACTCCCATTTTTTTCTCCCCCGGTTAGTCAGTCCAGTCTCACTTAGCCACTGAGCCACAATCCCACTCTTTTCGCAGCAGATCGTCAGCCATCAAGCAGCGGATTATAACCCCCCTCCCACCCCCACCCGCTGAGGTGGCTGCCGATGACTGACGCAGTGGGAAGTGGCGTTGTCATGGCAACCGCAGGGGTTTTAGCCGTTTTGTCATCCGCCCGTGAAACAGCTGTTAGTGGGCGGATTAACAGCGAGCTCAACTCGGCCATCGCCACGTCACAGACTACGGAGCGCCGCTGGCCTCGGGGAACATTTAGAGTCTGAGACGTCCAGACTAACGACTTCAGTTTCATCTGTTCGGCCACGAGCTCAGGAAATGACAGGGAGCAGCAGCTGCTGATGCAAATACATTTATTAATAAAAGTGATTAATGAAATACGTTTCATTACGGAACATCACAGAATGCATAATGTGCATTTACAGAGAACATTAGCACAAACAAAAAGGTTTACAACAGTGAAGTTCCCATTCAACTTGGTCTGGACATTACAGGATATGTTATGACAAATATGCAATCACGTAAAGTGAATATAAAATTAGGCACATACTGAATCAATGTTGTATACGTACAGATTTTGCGCTTAGCCAGAGTGTGAAATAAATTATGCAAAAGAAAAATGTGTTACCCTTTGGCTAACATTGACGGGTTGATAGTGTTAATATGAAGAAAGGAGAAACACACAATGGCACCGGTCTCCTAGGCCCAACATTCCTTTTTGATTTTATGCCCATTCATAAAGATGTAATTAGGGAAAAGCTTGTGATATCGCAACTCGCTGTGAAGCCGATAATTAAAATAAAGAAAAGAAAATTGTGACTGATTGGGTTTTGAAATAAATTTAAAAAGAAAGAAAGAGAAAAACGATTCGGAGGAATAACAAGCCGTGTGTGAAGTTCCACCTCTGTGCCGAGGAAGCTGCTTTTAAAAGATTTACTCCCTCAGCCGGAGCCGGTTGGCATCTTCCCGGCTTGTGGGTTAGAAGGACGCAGCGAGTCTGGGAATAGCAGCTCTGCTCCCATTGTGCATCTATGGAGACAACACCACCCTGTCCGTGTTTACGTACAGAATACCAAGTATCCGACCCAGCGTGCTCCTGGCGTCCTCTTGTTGACAAAGATGTCAAATCGGTTTTTACATTTCAGGGGAACATTGTCATCCGTTTTCGGTTGCTAGGCGATAGTCCTATCGTTCAACTTGTTGTCCCGTTGCTGGTGCCGTTCATAGTTTGACTTCCACTGCCTCCCGGGCACAGGAAAATAATAACAACAGAAAGATGGAAAAACCTTCACCGCCCTGCGGGACGGCGCAGTCAGAGCGAAGGGGGGAAAGTGGGAGAGGAGGGAGAGAAAAGGTACAGGAGTAGGGAAGAAGAGGAGGCCGAGAGAGGCTTTTGTTCACCCCCCCCTCCCCTCTTTATTGCCTGAAGAAAAGGAAAGCGAAGCGCTGAAGTGAGAAGTGACACGGAGTCCGTCCTAATGATGAGCGGTGCCCAGCGGAGCGCAGAGGAGAAGCCCTGTGGGACACGCTGAAGGATATGAGGAGCTGCCACCTTAATAATCCAAAGACCCCCCCCCCCCCCCCTCCACCATCCCCTCCACCATCCACTCCACCACCCCCTCCACCACCCACTCTCCCCCTTGAGCTCTATAGAAAACCTTCTCAACACGCACCACGGAGGCACCGGTTTCCCTCAAACAACTCTCTCTGCGTCAAGGTCAGACAGCACAGAGCTAGCGAGGTAGAATTACTAAAGACGAGGGGGACGTTTCAGACTAATGGAGATAAACGACTGGTCCAGACACACGCCGTGCCACGCAGGCCCGACAGAAGCTGCTCCTCCCCCAGCTCTTCGCTCAGCCTGCTCATGGAGACAGCCTCGTCTCGGTGGTTTCGTCCTAAGAGTTGGAGACATTTGCCGTCACGTTACCACGAAGAACCTATCGCCACGGAAACTCCTCAAACTAAAACAGCCGTTTTACATCCGCCGCTTCCAAACCAAACACGCCATAATTCATTTGCAGTTCCAAACCCGTTGCATGATGGTTTTTAGTAAATAAAGTAAGTGTTTCAGAGTCTAAATAAGAAGTTGATGCAGTCGTCATGACATCAGCCAGTGAACACAAGAGACACAAGAGACCAAATCTGGTCCTAAAATGATGTTTTAACCTTAGAATAAGCTGATTACTTATTTGTCTTTAGAAGAAAACATATATGGACACTTTTGTTCTCTATCCGTATTGCTATGTTGATATGAAGCACAGTTAGAAGCCAGAAAACTCTTTTTGCAAACAGCTGGATGAAGAATTACTTGCATTGACTAAAAGATGAAAACTTTCAGAAATCTTTCAGTACGTCTGACAGCACAGAGTACGAAGCGCTGATGGTTTGGTCCGGTGAGAGCAGATGGAAATCAGTCCAGGAAAAGTCCAAACGTCACACCGCTTCGTCTTCACCATTCAGAGCAAGAGGAGGAGAGCTCAGAGCAGCAGAACTCTCCCTGCTGAGGGGGACATTTGTCAAAGGGAAGTCTGCGTCCAGAGGACCACTGCGAGTCATTGGAGCAGTCCCTCCACACACAAGACAGCAACGTGAGGCCATGTTCAGGGAGCTGGAGTTCACGTGGGATTATACAGTACTGTCCAGCAACACTTTGCTAATAAACTTACATTTTAGGGAGAAAACAAGCTCAAAATACCACTTCGGTTGTCGTCTTCATATTTGCCTTCAGTTACTCTTCAGTTTTAGATCCCTTTTTATACTAAAGTACGATATTTAAGTAACCTTTGATATACAAGCAGTATTGGAGTATTACAGAAGCACAGTAGAGTACACAAAGCAGGGTTTAAATGAACACATCTTTGTGTAGCAGGTGGCGATGAGCAGGACATGCTCAACACATCCTGCTCAACATCTGGATCTGGAGTTGGAATCCGGTAACCTCTGTTCTCGTATGTGATTGTGAACACTGAACAAACTGGACGTTTCCTTTCGTTTACCACACAGGGAGGTAAGTCTTCAATCAAGGTCACCAACATTACTATTCCTTAGAATAGATATCACAAAAAAAAAAAATAGTTTTCTTCCGTTGTAGAGCAGATAACCGATCGATAATCTGAAAAATCAGTCACACATTCATAAATATAATCTTCCTTCATGTTGCAGAGCTTTTGATCGGGCTCCTGCACAGGGAGCTCGACTCGTAAATTCCTGCAAAGCCTTTGGATTTGTTTCCTATTACGCAACAACATCCGCTGCATAATCTCACCTTGACTACCACAACATTGCATGTACTATAAAGTAAATATTGCACAAAGCAAATCATTTGAAATTTGGATTTAAAAAAAGAAAAACATCCACTTTGGTGCGTTTAAAATAAAAAATAAACCCTGTTTAGCTAACACGCATACTACACTTCCTGTCTGTAGTGGCATTGCATAGAAATTTGGCATGGCTTTGCATTTTGAGTATTTCATTACCACAATCCTCCTACAGAGCTGCTCAACTCATCACGTCGTCGGCAGATCCCCCCCCGACCCCCCCACACCTCCTCCCATTGAGCCTGCTTTAGTTGCCAGGAACAGCCAGGATGTAGCCCGACCGGCTCTTGGTGAAGTCCGGCTGCGACTGGTTGATCTTGGGCTCCACGATGACCGTGCACTTGCTCCCGCTCAAGCTGCACTGGATGGGACTCGCGATGTTCACCTGCAGCTTCCTCTTCTCACTGCGGACAACAGGAAAGGAACATGTCATCCCTCTGGCTGCCACCCTATTGGCTACGAGCAGGCGGCGTTGCCTCATTGGCTTCCCGTTACACTCAGTCACTGTTTAATGCACAGGAATGAAACATGCAGGTCCATCAGTGACACGTTTGTTTGCGCGCGTGCGTGCGTGTGCGCGTGTGCGTGTGTGTGTGTGTGTGCGTGCGTGCGTGCGTGCGAGAAAGTATTGATGGATATTTAGGCCATAAATAATTTTCACTCTCACGTTATAATTATCACAAATCCCTCCCCCCCCCCCGCCCCACACAGACAGATAAAACTAAGATGAATAAGGTGAAGAAATGAAGCCCGGGGGCCGTCACTTCTAGTTGGACCCTCGTTTGCGTCTATTCCCCACATCATGACCCAGCGAACAAACCCGCTAACATCCAAAACTCCGCTGGGCGACTACGACAACATCATCATCCTCTGTATCTCGGGGAGATGCAGACCGGAGCGGCTCAAGGTAGCGCTGATGCTTGTCTCCAAGGCAACCCCCCCCCTCCGCCCTTCCCTCCTGTGAACCCGACTTCCCCCATCTGTCATGGCCGCCGGCCAGCCAATGGTTCTGTGTGCGGTGTGTGTTTGTTGTGCGATGCGTCTCGGAGCCAGAGGGGGATGCTGCGCTGAGCTCCATCGGGGGAAACGCTCACATTCACAGAAACACACAAACAAACACAACCTCCAAAAAGCTTCCACTGGGTCCAACAAACAAACCTCTGACCCCTTTCTGGGCCGCCGGGGCGTCAGCTTGCCTCGGAATGAACACTTCACCCCTGAATAAAAAGAGGGAGGATTCGTCGAGCCTGAAGGTCATCTGCCGGCGTCCCCAATCAGGAGCTGGTCGGAGCCCCGGGGGCAGACTTAGTCTTCCACGGCATGGCCTCTCCGACGGGAAAATCAATTCTGTCCCCCCCCCCCAGGGGGTCCCTTTGTGTGTCTTTGCCCTTCATGCCATGCGAGTCCTCACACGAGCATCTCGTCTTCACTGGCAAGGGTTGAGGGCGAGAAATAGAAGTGAACTAAAGGTGGAGGACAACGTTATGGAGGCTGAGGAAAGATTTATTTAGGGGAGAAAGTGCCGCGAGTGAAGCGCTGCGAAATGAGGAGCCAGGATTTCCTCCAGTGAAGACATCCAGTCCCACTTCTGAGTCATCCCTCTAATAGTGTACCTGGCTCTCCCCCAAGCTCTCTGCTGTGGAATAATATATGAGCGCTGAAGGGGGGGTGGGGGGGTTGCCATAAATACTCCGGACTTTCAGTAGGTGATCAAAGCTGGAGCTTTCCTCACTTTTTAGAAGCACTCCCGAGGGAGATAAAACAGAGTGAGGACTCTTGTTCTTTTTCCTGCACTAATAAAATCACTGAACAAACTAGTAAAATCGGACTTGTATTGACAGGTTGTTTCACCCACTGACTTTACTACGGCCTATTTTTCAGAGGCGAGCGCTCTGCCGCTTACGTCTCCTGCTGAAACTAGGAGTTGTTTCTCATTTCTGAGATTTTCCTGTGAGTTGTTCATGAGTTTTGTCTGGCTTTAGCTTCCACTTTTGTACATTGAAGTTTGTTTATTATCTATTAATCATCTTTATGTCAATAAAAGTAATTCGTTGTGAATCGTACACTTTTCAACCAGCATTCCAAAGGGTTTGATAAAAAGTTACTCCTCATGTTCTCTAGGCTGCAGCACACGTGGTCAGAGAGCATTGATCCTCCTTTGTGCTTCTATTCTATGGGTTCTCCATCTATTACTATGCGTCCAATCCGAAGGAATGGACTGCGGCTGCAAAAACGGACATCCAGCATGTGCACGTGAAACAGATGTGCACCTTGATGCACAAACAAACACACACACACATCTGGGATCCGGCAGCTCGATGCAGAGGGGAGCAGCAGGTGGACTCATGCCAAGTACGACTGCCGCCTCCTCACATCAATATTTCAGTTGGTGAGACCACAGTGAGGTGAAGAAAGGAAATGCACCGAGTGAGGGGGAAGCGCGCACACGCACACACACACACACACGCACACACGCACACACGCACACACACACACACACGTACTGTATAGTGTGTGTGCGCGTTGAGGCCAGGCACCATGGGGCAGGACTGAGAAGCAGACGCTGCCAGTGTGATTGATGGAGAGCCAGGCTGCTTTTCTCCAGACTCCTCGTGAACATTAAAGCAGAATCTCCACGTTTCTTCGGCCCAAGCAGGATCCCACACACTCTTTAAAAATCAGTGGATGATGAACAGAAATACGGATGTGCCTCAACAGACTGAAATTGTTGTTACATCTTTACATTTCAGTGAACTGATGAAGCGGTTTTTAAAGCATTTATGGCCCATAGGGTGTCTATTTATATGTTTAGCCCATGGTCATAATGTTGCAGAGACATTTGAATCTACAAACATCAACCCTGAGGTGGCACGATGGGTCGTCTGGAAGATTTATCATCTGGGACCCATGACTGTCTGTGCAAAACATTTGATCCGATGAATCCACTCGATGCTTCTGAAAGTTATCTTTAGATATTGAACACCAGCCCTCCTGCATCACTCGCCTCCCCTGCTCCCGAGTGAAACATCCCCTCCCCGCAAGGGAAACGTAAAAGACGCAGACGTGCATCGCACCGGAACTCATCTCGAACGGGCTTTTCATCCGGAGGGATTGCGTTGCGAGGCGGATGGATGACACCGTACTGGACTCAAGTGGCCTGGTTTAAAGCGTGAAAGCTGCCCGAGAGGCTTTCTGACTGCAGTTCTCAACTTCGCTGGTACAAGAACTGCTGCCAAGGAGTAGAGAGGCGGAGCTCCATGGAGGGTGTGACGATTTGAGATGCATTTGTAGTGTTGCAGCATCTGTGCAGACATTATATTAAGTCTGATCATTTCAGCATGAGGTGTCCTCTCAAGGTTCAACTTCTACTTTGAACTGTGCACGCGCTCCCTTTTCCCTCTCTGATGAAGCCCATAACTTATCATCAGTTTCACATTTCAAATCTCACATCGGCCAGCTCAAATGCAGCACAGAGAAGCTTCTGCAGAATCCGTCGTCTCGGGTTATTTGCGCAGAAGGCACAAGCTGAGCTGAGAGCGGCCCGCGTTGTTATCTCTGCTCCCCGCTACGGAGGAGCAAAGCTGTACTCTCAACGGGAGGGATTACTAAGTAGGTCATTTAAAGAACGGGGGAGAGAATGCACCGACAGCAAAAGCCGGAATTGATTCCAAACGTGCACAGAAGGCAGAAAGCATGAGGAGAGGAAAGAGCGAGGTCGACCTATTGGCGTGCATGGAGAAGTGGAGGGTTCAGAGGTCACAGGCGCCTTGGGCCAGAGCCACACAGGAGGCAGGCCAGCAGCTATGAAACAGTACAGCAAACCGACAGGTCCAAGTGGGGCGTCCCATACCGCTTCACAAAATGAGTGTCCAAAACTCCTGTGAAGCTCCCGAGGGGCCCGAGAGACGCTTTGAACAAAACGCCTTCTGTGAAGTGTGACAGCATTAGTCTTTTACACATTTATTTCCCAGTCCTCTGGTTTTTGGTTGAAATCCCTCAAAGTGGAAACAAACATTCTGTATCGGAGAAAATAGGAAAATTGTACCGAGCAGCAGCTCAGTTTCATCCGACTACTCGTGTGAAGAATTGGCCGCTAAGTAGCCCCATCAGGTGGAGAAAGCTATAAATCCTCGTCCGACGTGTGAATCAACGTGTGCGTCCAAGTACATAAAGTCTTGGGACCTGCTGCACTTTTTTTGGTAAATACGTCATATTTTCTAAGGTGTAGATTTAAAAGACAAAGAGAGAATTTGGTCTCAATTGTATTAGTAAAGTGAATAAACCCATTGAGAGGTTACGCAAACCTGCAATAAAAATATTGGGAAAATGCCATTACAAATCTTTTCCTCGGGCTTGAAGCCGAGAGAGGAACTAGTTTCTTTTGGTTTCCATACGTCTATTTCTACATCCTTCAATAAAGACTCCACCGCCCCCCCCGATCTCCTGTCAATACCCTCGAGGGCAGCAGAAGACGGTGCGACCAGAACGCTCCCCCCTGGGTGAGCGGCGTCCGTCAATACCGGCAACTCTTACAAGCTGCTCTGAGGAGGCCGGCTCGCAGATGCTCGTGGCCAAACAAAAGGACACACACACACGTGTCCCCTCCACGGAGCTCCGGTCAAAGGGTCAGTGGGAGACAGAACTCAACCAGGGACGTACAAAAGCAAAAAGGCCTCTGTCACATATGGTGGAGGCTACCTCACTCTGCAGAGTCGCACAGCTGGAGCGTTAAACTGTTGTGGTGTGTGTGTGTGTCTTCTCATTGTCTCTGACCGGTGAGCTCCATCTCGCTCAGTCTTCGAGGCTGAATGGACTTAAAAGGACACAAGGTGTGTCGATAAGCAAGGGGGGGACAACCGAGGGGGGAGACAGGCTGCACAATTAGATGCTCACCACAGAGCGGGAGTACGCTTACTTCTCAAGAGGCTGCGGCTCCAATGATGTTTGAAGGCAATCAATAAGTCAGTCTAAGGCTCATCTATTTTCCTCGGCTGGCAGGCTGCTGTTTTCCACTCGGTGGGGGGGAGATTTGGACGAGTGTCCAGCAGGAACCAGCCTGTGTTTTGCATCTCGACTATTTAAAGTAGCAATTCATGCTTCAAGCAGATTTTATGTAGTATACATCCAATGTGGATCATATTAAAATAAAGACAGTATATCTCCACAGTAGGTACTATAAGTCCGTAGGTTCAATTGTAACTATGCGGGTAACTATTCATGCAAAATTAAGTAAAAATTGGAAGAAATCCTCTGCCAAAAATCAAAGGATAAAATGATAGCTGGGAGAACAACGTGGGCCGTCGATGACACGAAAGCACAAACTTTTCATTCAATTGGCACTCGCAATTGGTTTGTCTGACTTGCTAAGACGCAGACTAATTATGTAATCAGTGTTTGAATGCTA